TTCTGTATACTTTTCTCTAAACTATCTGCAGAGGTAAACTACAGTACCTAAATTATTTCCTAATTAACAAAGCCAATTTTATTAATAAATTAGTGTTGCCAGTAAAGCAGCCAACTCAAAGGAAGTCCTTGCCTAAAACTCCCAACATCTCAGATAATGGATGACTAAGTTCAAGTGGGACAGACAGCCAGGTTCTTTGGTTTCTCCTAAATAATAAAATTCCCTCAGTGATTAGCAAGCATTTAATTAAAGCAACATCCTTTTGTCTCTCTCTTAAAGCTTGCAGGGAGATAATGAGATGATACTGATCTGCACAGACAGTGACCTATCAGACAATTAGCTAAAGGTAGTGGAGGGAAATGATGCTAAAAAGGCAAGTCAGAACTGTCCAAACGTTATGATTATTGGCTGTACATTTGAGTAAATCTATCCAAAAAGATGCCTAGAAAAACAAAACTCTTTGATCTTTGCATATTTCATGCAGAAATCCACTCCAAAAGGGGAATCAAGAGTTTATAGCAAACTCTTACTCATTTAGTCTGCAAATTAACCAGCAGACGTTGAATCCAGCTCAGCCCAGGGCCAGATGGTATTCATCCAAAGCTTCTAAAGGAAATAGTAAAATTATTAAACATGATATGTAATCTCTTGCTTAAAATTATGTTGTTGCCAGAGAGAAAAAAATGGGCCAATGTGATGCCAATGTTTAAAAAGCATTCCAGGGGAACTAAACCCTCAGAATTACTAGCCAGTCTGTAAGCCTGGCACCCACAGGAGGGAAATGGGTAAAAATCTCTATCTCTGGACACATGGTCTGCACAAATTTTGTAAAGGAAAGCTACACCTTACAGAGCATGTGAACAGGATGATCCAGAGTGGTTTAAACAGTAACTACACAGTTGCTGATATTTGCACAGGATAGCATTCCGTCATTTGTCCCAGACTTGCTTTTGGTTGAAATTAGAACCCTCTGGAGTCAATCATGGCTCAGTACTTACCCCTCAGCTCTTCAAGTCTATACTCCACATGCTGCCTTCCACCACTGTGCTCTCCAGTGCATTTGCTTTCTGCATGGTATGTGACTATACTGAGAGCCTTCACAAAGCAGGTCCATTTTGCATTTCTGCTGAATACATGAAGTCTCTGGCTGCAGTTGCTGGCCTCATCAATTTCAGCCCTCTTGCATGTGCTTAGGATGCATGTCTTAACACTGTAGTGGGCCCATCCTTTGGGATGGGGCTAGGTACTCTCTCAGGAAAGACGGCCCTTCACACCTTCTCACACACAGTTGAGACTGTATGAGGCGAGAGATATGCACTGGCTTTATGGTGTTTGCTGTACTGAACTGCAGCCATGGTCAGACTCTCACCCCACTGAGGGCAAGCGGGTTAGTGGGACCTTGCAGTGGTAGGTACCACTGAAGGCCAGCTGTGTCCAGGACTTCCAAAGGAGAAGAACATTGTATGAAGTCCTCCACAAAAGCCCACCGCTCTCTGACAGTTCAGCCTTCTCTATGTAGCACAGCCATGGCAGGCTTTTTTATGCACAGTCTGGCACTGCCACTGCCACCACCAGCAGGCTTGTATTGGGAAGACATGAATGGCAACAGATGAAGCCATCTGCTCCCATGTAATTCAGGACAATAAACTTGAGAAATATCATCTGAATTTGCACATCCAGAAAAACTGAGCTGCAATGCAAACATGACTCCGGGCCTCCTCTGAAAAAGTGTAACAGAAAGGTCTGGTTTCCTTCCATCCCTGGAAAAGGCAAAGAAGTAAAAAAGACGCTCTCCCCTTATACTGACAATCAGAGGCAAATCCTTGGAAGCCACGTTCCTGGCATCCATGAGCATCCTGTGAACACAGAGCCAGTGATCCATGAATAACTGGTGATTTAGTGGTGCAATGCTGGTAAAAGTCTTAATAACTTAGTAGAATACATGCTGAGTTTTCCAATGATTTGCATGCATGCTTCAGGCTTTGTGTTTTGTTTCTTTAACTTGAAACTTTATTGCCTCATGCTGTGAGCACAACCCACAGCACTGAGCTACTGTATCACTTCTTGGTTTGTTTCTTCATTGCTTATCTAGATTGAGCTTCTTAAGACCTAAGATGATTTGACACATGGCAATCAATGTTCATGGATAATCCTGGAAGACTTCTCTGGGCTGAGGGAGCAAAGCTGGCATAGATTTGCTTGCCAGAAAGAACAAGAAGAATTAGGGAAGAAGAAGTTCAGGAGTGATTTCTAACACCATGGACAAGTAGACCATTGGTCTGGAGTGAAACAGAGAATGGTATGATTAGGACATTGGAAATAAAAGGTAGGAATGGAAAGTAGGAGTGAAAGGCAATTATGAATGGAGCCCCACAGGAAGCTTTGCTACAGCGGTTTGTCTCTTTCAAAAGCTCCAGAAATGGGAAGAGGGGTGAGGTTGAAGAGTTTTGTACTGATGCCAAGTCATTCAAGGAGAAGAGATGAAAAAACTACTTTGGAGAACTGAAGAAAGTTCTTTCTGATAAAATGGGAGAATAAAAATCATTGCAAAGCAGAAAACAATTGTAATTTTTCCTGAATAACATAGGGCTCTAAATTAGACATTACTATGCAAGAAAGAGACTGCTGAACTTACAGTAGGTTCTTCCATGAAAACATCAGTTCAATTCTCAATAGCCATAAGAAAGGAAAATAGAATTACAGGAATTATTATAAGGGAATGGGAAAAACCACAAAAACTTAATATGCCATTACTTAAATCCTTGGTTCCTCTTTACGTGTCAGCATCTGTGGAAGACTATAGAATAACTAGAAAATATTTTAGACCTGGGCCATGATGCTAATGGAAGGTATGAAGCTACTTGTTTACAAGGAACGAATAATCAACCTGAAAAAAACATGACAGGTACATAGAAGATAACTTCAGAATGATAATTCACTGATGCAGTGAGAGACAATAGCCCCAGTATACTCTCTTAGACTGAAATGATCCCCCTAATGACCCCCCCTAATCTTGTCTTCCCTCCTGATCACTGACCATGTCTCCCCCAGACCTTCATTCATTCCATTTCTTTTTTTCCTTTTAACCAGGTCCTGAACACTTCATGGAAGACTTTATGCAACCCAGTTTAGCAGCTCTGGAAACCCAGCAGATGTTGACAAGTGCACAATCTCAGTTTATATTTGACAACATAAATAAAAGTTAATCTTTCTGCTTACTGTAATGTTGCTTCCTCAAGGTACAGGAATAACCAAGCTGTAACTCATCAGAACACCAGCAATGAACCCCTCACCCCACAGTACAACCAGTGTACAAACTGTAGATTAAAAATTAGTACAGGGAGAAGCCAATCTCAAGTAGCAACTCATCTATGATAAATAAATAATACAGTAAATAAAAATGCTGGTAATATCAGTCATTCAACACAGCTGCAGCTGAATACATATCCAATAATTTCTCTAATGTAGATCTAATAGAAGGTGCCAGGAATCCAAAAAGATCTCTTCCGCATTAAGACTAAGCCCAGAACAACAATCTGACATCTTATTTACAGAAAGACTTAAACTCCATTACAGGCTATTTAATTCAGTAAAGAAATTGCTAAACACAATTACACAGCCTGTGTTTTGCAGCACATCAGACCATTATAATAATTATAAATAATTATAGTTATTTCTTTTGATACATAAAGGTTTCTCAAAGCTCAAAATTGTTCAGACCAAATGCTACTTGATGACAAAAGAAAATGCTCTAAAACCTAAAGACTTCATTGAAGTGAGTCTCATATGCATATAGAAAGCAGGATTATATCTCAGATGTAAAGGGCACCTGAGAAAGGCAGACATAGGCTACAAAATTTGGTCTGCCTTGGTTTGCCCTTGATTTTTGTTCTATAGGAAGTAATTTCTGTAGGAAAGATCAGTTGTTAACCAGAAATCTGGGCAGCTTAGACTAGTCTGCGTCTTGCTGTCTTACCTGAAGATAAGCGAAAGAGCAACTTAAACTCACTAGCCTTTCCAAAAAGCATCCATTCCTTTTTCTGCACATTACCATTACTATATAGGCACCTGTCTTGGCTGACATCCCAGCTGTTTGGGATATTATAATAACTTTAAAATACCAGAGAAAATGTTCAGGAAATACTGGAATAATTACAAATAAATTCAAAACTAAAACAACAAAAAACAATACTATGTTTAATGAAATGGGTGTTTGTCATTTAATAGAGTGGTTGATTAGTAACACCCATCAATTTAACCATAGAACACATTAAAAAAAAAAAAAAAATTAATTGGGCAGGTACGAAATGAATGGGTTTCAGAGATGTTGGTACCTAATATTCAAACTTAATGGTCAATCATTGCCAAAATGGAAACATATTTTAGTTTCTTCAATATGATTTTCTCCCATTTTGAGAACATGTCATAGAATCATAGAATCATAGAATAGTTAGGGTTGGAAAGGACCTTAAGATCATCAAGTTCCAACCCCCCTGCCATGGGCAGGGACATCTCACACTAAACCATGTCACCCAAGGCCTCGTCCAAATTGGTCTTGAACACCGCCATGGATGGAGCATTCACAGCCTCCTTGGGCAACCTATTCCAGTGCCTCACCACCCTAACAGGAAAGAATTTCCTCCTTATATCCAATCCAAACCTCCCCTGGTTTTAATTTTTAACCCGTTACCCCTTGTCCTGTCACTACAGTCCCTAATGATGAGTCCCTCCCCAGCATCCCTGTAGGCCCCCTTCAGATACTGGAAGGCTGCTATGAGGTCTCCATGCAGCCTTCTCTTCTCCAGGCTGAACAGCCCCAACTTTCTCAGCCTGTCTTCACACAGGAGGTGCTCCAGCCCCCTGATCATCCTCATGGCCCTTCTCTGGACTTGTTCCAACAGTTCCATGTCCTTTTTATGTTGAGGACACCAGAACTGCACACAATACTTCAGGTGAGATCTCATGTCATTCTAGATTAATTTCCTACCAGTAGGTTGCACCCTTGAAAATGGAATTGAGTCCTGCTGGACTGAATATTTCTTTCAGCTGAGACAGTCACACATGGTATACACCGATCACTGGCTTAAGTCATTTTATCTCAGATTTTCAAAAACTGCAAAAAATCTGTAAAAGAAATTGAAAAAATATAATTAATCTGCTAAAGAAAAGATAATTTAGTAATTAGAACTTTAGGTGTAACTATTCATCCCTACTCTCCTACATACCTATTCCCATTAATGGCATGATAAAGCAAAGCTGTCGAGACTGGAAAAGAAGTCCAGGCCTTCCAGTCTCTGTATATCAACTTTAAGGGGGCCAGACTTGTTGTTAGGAACCTGTTAGTGCTTTGCCTATTTAAGTAGAAGAGATTTTAAATGTGAGGTTTGTTTTCATTGAGTTATAGCAGAGATTCATTTATAACACTAATTTACATTTTTTGCCACAAACAATCTGTATACTGGAAGCTAGAAGCCCATAACTTTGTGAAAGCACCAGAGAGGACGATATTTATGTATTCAAAAGCAGAATTCAGAAGACAGGGTTTCTTCTAAACAAACAAGATCATTGTGTTTTTACACTAATGCGTAACTAAAGTGCCACAGTTTATCAGTTCATCAAGTTTGTATCTGAGTCACATACAAGTCCTTGTACTGAGAAAATGTGTAGGCTTGTGCTTATATTAACCAACAATTCTGATATCGTACTTTCATAAGGCTTGATCCAAGAACACTGACATTAGTGGATCTTTCTATTAACTTGCAGGGGTGTGGATCAGGTGAGTACAGTGCTTTTGTATGAAGCCAGCATTTCACCAAAAGAGATAAATGTAACAGCTCTTGTTTTTCTGAGCATACCCAGTCTTTAGTCTGCTCTGAAAAACATGAAGGTAAGAATTTTGTTCATGTATGGCATAAAAAACCTTCAGTATGTTTTTCTTTTTCTGCACTTTTATTCAGCTACTCTTACCATTTTAAATGTTGTTGATTGAGAGGTGGCTTCATCACTCTGATCACTCACTGGTTGTGATTTGTTTGCTGTGGCATAGCAGAGTATCTCCGATAATATTGCAGAGCTGTGAGTAGGAGCGATCTTGCAAGGGGTTAATGCTGTAATTTTTTCTAGTCTGTTTATAATCCCCACAATAGTCCAGTAACAGAAAAGGGTGGATCTAAAAAAGTACCAGAGGGGATGTGTGTGTGTGTGGATGTGTGTGCATATGCATGAGCGTGTTTGTGCATTCATGCTTTGCTTTTCTGGACTGCCTTCTGTGCCCCTGGAATAAATCTTGTTCAGCCTCAACAGGACCTGTGTGCCAGGTGCTTCTGACAGAGTTAGAAGAGCTTCCTTGCACAACTGCCTGTCTTGTGTTTCTCCTGGAGATTTCATTCAGAAATGTATTTGTTTACTGCAAGAATGGGCAGATAGTCACAAACCCACCCTCTTCTTCATCAAAGCTAACCTGTGGACACTGAAGAATGGAAATAGTTGATGCTAACTTCCTCGGGAACAGTACCAATTTTACTGCTTTCCTGTGCGATATCATCTTGGAAAATGACACTTTTTTCTGTGTGGATGATCCACCTTATCCTTCTAAAGGTATGTATAGAGGAACAGGTTTTTCCAGGCAGTTTTAGTTCTAGCTGGAAATAGAGATATTATGGAAAGAAACAGACACAAAAAGCTTTTTCTGTGAGTGTAAAATCAACTGCTTGCTGATAAGTTAGGATGAGAAACAGGCAGGAAAGAATTTAGTATGTGCTGGTTTTCCAAGATAAAATTCATTACAAAAAGATCTGGATATAATGCAGAACTAAAACAGTAGCAGCACTGGGCACAAAATGTAAACAGCTCTGCTAAGGATTTGGAGAAACATAATTTATACTCTTTAAGCAATTCAATAACAATGAAGATACCTGATCTGATGCCATGTAGGAAAGTGATTATGAATAAAAATATAGCAATCTGAGGGTAGAAAAAATATGCATATACTAAACCATTTTGATTGCTGCATCGTTCCTTACTTCTGCATAAAGGAGGATCTCCTGTGGTGAGTGAGTTGTGCACCCAAAATGCTGTGGGCTTTTAAGGAGTCGAATTTGGCTCTCCAAATGCACACGTTATTGCATCTATTATATTTTAACAATATAAAATTCAGGTAGATCAGAACAAGTTTAAAAACTGCAGCATTTCCATTGATTTTGCATTGGTATAAAGACATAAACCTTAATAAAACTGAATACAGAAATACTTTTAACTTTTGATTAAAGGCTGAAACACGATATTAGTCTATGAGCTGTATGCTGCATACCTGATCTTTCCCTGTGACAATTTTCAGATTTGAATCAGATAATTCGAATTCTACTGTATTGTCTGATATTTCTACTCAGCGTTTTGGGGAACATCCTGGTAATCACAGTGCTGATAAGAAACAAGCGGATGAGAACAGTCACCAACACGTTTCTGCTGTCACTAGCAGTCAGTGACCTGATGCTCTGCCTGTTCTGCATGCCATTCACCCTCATCCCCAACCTGCTGAAAGATTTTATTTTTGGAAGCACTGTTTGCAAAACTGCCACTTATTTCATGGGTAAGTCCTGGAGATCTATACTTATTTTGAAGATTGACTAATGAGATAGGTGAGAAGGTCATTAGAGACCTGTAAAATACTGACCATTTCCATCTGCCATTGAACAGTTACCAAAACCACAAAGGAACAGCTTTGTAATGTCATAATGGTTCTGGTTTCTTCATCCTGATCCGACAAAATGCAGAGGCACCCACTTAATTTTAGCAACATATAGAAGTCTTTTGCTGGATCAAGTGAGAATTTAAGTGAGAAGTATGTTGCATGATCAAGCCTTAATGAGGAGCCCAGCACATGTGCTTGCTTACCTGTCACTGACAGGTTTATTAGCAGTGGTCAGGTCACCCACCAGAAATGACAGGGTTGTACATTCCTCACTAAGGGCAGATTTTGCCCACAGATTTTTGGTAGCAGTGACACATGAAAAAAGAAATAAAACCAGACAAAGTCAGTGCCATTTGTGGAGCTGGAAGTTAGAGCAGGCACTTTCTGAGAACAGACCAGGTGTGATCAGAGCTCACCAGGAGATCACGAAGTACAGATACAGGTATCAGAGGCTGGCTTTAAGAAACAACACTTTTATATGCCTTCCCATACTCCCTTTACTTGTGGAGCCAGGAGTTTCAGAATGCCTGGATTACTTACTTGTGTGTAAGTGATTTTCTGTCACTTCCAGAACTTCTTGTGCATTTGCTGTTTCTTGAAAACGCAAAAACCGAGAACTGTGTGTAAAGCTTTTGCTACCCTGGGACACCTTCAGTCCCTTACAGAAACCTTGGGTACCCTTTTGACCAGTGTCCTTGAGAACTTTGCTGTGTTGTGAAAGTACACAGCTAAAGTGTGCGAATGAGAAATCAACATCTTTTTGTAGATAAAACCAATAAAACTAAAGGCCATGTTTAAACAATTATAATGAATTGCTGCCATAAATACCACAAACCACTACCGAAGCATTGCTGTATTCCTCTTATTTCACACTGTGTAAATTACTTAAAAAAAAAAAATCCAGTGAAATATATTCAAACATGAAGTTTTTCATTATGAAGGTGTTTTAAGAGACAGAATGTTGATATTTCCCATTATCAGTTCAGCTTGACAGGGTCTTCAATTGACACTGACATGCATTGCATCATCTATGCTCCATTTTTCATTTTAAGATGTGGGATCACTTGTATTAAATTACAGATAAATTGTGTACAGCAAACTGTACAGATATTGGCATTTTATATTTTGACCCACATTAGAACATTCACAAAGACTATTAAATGAAACTCCTTTACTGAAAGAAAAAAACTGCGACAAGAAGAAATATTTATAATCTTGCAGTGATAAACTGGGGCACCTCAGTGACAGAAATACAGACCACTGCTACATTTTGTAATATATAATCAGGAGAAGTTAAGGGCATTTGAAGGACAAAGATTCTGCTTCATGACTTCAGTTTTACCTTGTAACTCCATTAAATTTAAATGGAGTTTAAATTTAAACACAATTTAAAAAGTGATAGGATATTTAATTCTCCTGAATGAGAAAATCAGATCTCCAGTCAAGCAGGATGCTTAAAAAAAATAAAGCAGTAGAAGAGGGATTGTGAACTTCTGTGTTAAAAGAATAGTTAACAGCATAATGTCACTGATTACAAATGCTTGTTTCAATTTCAGTCCAATTAGTGGAGTGGATAAACCACAGTAGTAAAGAGAAGAATTAGGAGAAGTGTCTTCTTTCCCTACTATCAGAATTTCATGGTTTAACAGAACTAATCTTTTGTCTTGGACTTCTGCCATTAGAGAAATGCAAAGCAGAAACATCAGTCTGGAGACCCAGACCTGTTGCCCACATATTCTTCACTGACTTTATCAGCATGATATTTATACACATTTTAGATTATAAATAATCCTATATTTCATTTTCCTTATGCATTCGGAAAGTTAGCTAGACTATTTGAAAATGAACCTTTAAAACAAACCATTAGCCTTTTTCTTTATCTTATATATGTAGGTGTCTCTGTAAGTGTGTCTACATTCAACCTGGTTGCCATATCTTTGGAGAGATACAGTGCCATTTGCAAACCTCTGCAGTCCAGGGTCTGGCAGACAAAATCTCACGCCTTGAAGGTGATTGCTGCTACCTGGTGTGTTTCCTTTACCATCATGGCACCATACCCAATTTACAGCAAGCTGGTACCTTTCACCAAGTATAACAACACCACAGCAAATATGTGTCGGCTCCTTTGGCCAAGTGATGTCATTCAACAGTCTTGGTAAGACATAAATGACTGTTAGCAAATGTATAATTATCTGGCAGAAAACAGGATTTCATGGTAGCATTAAGCCTATTGAAAATCAAGTATTAACCTTCAGCATACATTTACACTTCTAGCATGCTTATTTAAGTAGTAAAAAAAAAAATATTTTTAAGCTGCTTACATTTGACACTTGTATGGCTTTTCCCTTGTCATAGGAATGATACCCAACATGGCAATGATTCTCACACTGTGGTCTGCTAAACCCCTACTGTAGCTGTAAAGCAAGCATCTGTCACTCCTCAAGTAGGAGTACTGCTTTGACTCATTTATACACAAACTTAAATATTTTTCAGAAAACTCTGTGATTAATCTTTGAGAGATGCAGGCACATACAAGTGCCCCTCTGTGTGCTGCCTTGCCCATTAATTTGTTTGTCTGAAGGTCCTCTGAAGCAGAGAAGCAGCAATATTACTTAGACGTTGTGTCCTTGCACAATGACTGAACATTTTAACTGGCACCGAGAAGATGTAAGAGTTTTTTGGATACTGACTGTCAATTGGAACTGGGAACAAGATTAAAGTGTGCACCACTTCAGGATGGTGTATCCACAAAGAGCAGATTTGTACTAATGCTTTCATAGTCTCAGGTATTCAGCAGTGTGAGTATAGATGAGGATGGAGGTACAGGGAAAAATTCTCTCTCCCTGGTGTTGTGGATTCCCAGGTGCATTAGTGAGTTTGCACTAAATTCCCAGGGAGCAGAAAAGACATAGGCTCATGAATGCAGTTAAACATAATTATTTCCCCAACTTGTAATCACATTACAGAAGCTGCCTAGAAGATTAAGAGAAGTGCAACCAAGTAAAAGCTGCTTCCTTTAGCAGCAGGGTGGCTGGACCTGGGATCCCTCCCTGAGGGCTCTGCATGGTTGCAGGGATGAAAGCCCAGGTCGTGGCTGCCCTGTCCCTGCCCGTATGTGCCATGGCCATTGGCATGTAAGAGCTCATGGAAGAAATGACTGCCAGTACCAGGGGCTCCTTTGAGAATCAGCAGTGGCTCATTTGGCTTCTGCAAGGCAAATCCTACATCCTTCAAAAGTACAGGGCATCCGATGCTCACCTGGTAACAGCAGTGAGCCCTGCTCTTGGGCAGAGAAACCTTCTGCTCCCTCTGACCACTATGGGGGTGCCCATCTCCTCAGGGCCTGCAGATATTGGGTGATGAATGTTTTGCAGCCACAGTAGCCTTGTTCCTGCTGTACTTTTTTGGGCAAGAAGCAGAAGACTTGAGAAGCTCCTGATTCCCAGCGCTGTCAAAACAACGCTTTGTATTAGCATGAAAAAATGTCAGAAAAAATCTTGACATGCCCTACATACACATATATACCCCCAGTTCTCACCTGGAGCAAAAGGAGCTCTTCTGGTTTTGTGCTGTTCCCTGGTCTCAGTTTCTCTTTTGATTCTTTAGGTACACTTTCCTGCTGCTCATACTTTTTCTTATACCTGGGATTATAATGATGGTTGCATATGGCCTCATTTCTTTGGAACTCTACAGAGGAATAAAATTTGATGCCAGCCAGAGAAAACCTTCACGAGGTAACAATACATTTATACCCAGGGTTGGGGTTCTTTTAAGTTAGAGTTGAAGATCTGAGCAGTCATTTTGAGGTTACTGAAAGCAAAACTGTCTACTTGCAAAAATGATCAGCTATGGTTGTGAACCTGCCAGATGCATTTGTTGACTGCAGTTATTGCATTCTTCACTAGCAGATAATTCCTCATCTATGACTTGTTTACAAAGACTCTGGGCAGGATATATCAAATTTTAATTTTCTTATTATGGAAATACCAAGATTTATTTCTTTTTCTGGCCATGGATGAGGACCATTCCTGGCAATAAACACCACAAAATTTGTCAAATTTAGATAGAAGCACATAATTTTGAAAATTATCTTCAGTGAATACTAGAGCAAACAGCGTTCTTACATCCTTTGCATCAATTTTTATGGAGCTAGGATGTAAGAATATTGGGAGATAGTGGACACAGAGCAGTTGGTATTTGACTGACTCAGAAGTAGGCCAGTGCTTTCTCTGCAGCAGCTGTCCAGCCATGAATAAGGGTTTTTATTTAGACTTAGACTGCATTCTCAATTTCTTATTTTGAATCACTGTTCAGAGATGTTTTGCCGACCATTTAAGCACTAACTTATATGTACAGAAAGAAAAACAAGTACCTGCAGTGCCAAATACGAGGATGGAGATGGATGCTACCTCAACAAAACCAAGAGAAAAAGGAAAATGCCATTGCAACAGCTCTCTGCTACCAGCCATAGCAAAATAGACAGGGTGAGAAGCAGCAGCTCTTCTGCCAACTTAATGGCCAAGAAACTTGTCATCCGCATGTTGATGGTGATAGTGGTTTTGTTCTTCCTTTGCTGGACTCCCATCTTCAGTGTCAATGCCTGGCGTGCATTTGACACCACTTCAGCAGACCAGCGTCTCTCAGGGGCTCCCATCTCCTTTATCCACCTGTTGTCCTACACCTCTGCCTGCGTGAACCCCATCATATACTGTTTTATGAACAAGCGCTTC